ACAGCAGCAGGGGGTGACGCACATCGCTATACCACAAGACACATACAGTGCAGTGCAACTTACTACTACGAACGGCAAGGACAAAGGGGTCTCTAGTTCTGTGTCGAGGTCTGCGGACGGCCAAGCAGCCTCCACTGCAACCCAGGAAGAGATAGTGCAGACGCTGCTGCCTGCACAATTCATGAACGGGAATATCCACATTCCTGTAGCTGTGCAGACAGTAGGAGGGACTTACAACACTACACAGTCAGTTCATATATGGGACCCCAGTCATCAGCAGAGCCAAGGCGAAGACGGCCAGGAGCAGCAGCTCCATCTGCAGGTTAGAAGGGCATTTCTCTACATGGCTACACATGACGATCAGTCACTATATGAATCATCAGGATAGCCTGGACATTTAACAGATATCCCTTTATTGTGAACCTAATATAGTCTGTGCTTTATTGTACTAACCTAAGAGCCTTCCGAGGAAGCATTTGTAAAGTTTTCCCTCTGGTTCTGCGAAGGGCCAAGTAGAGACGGAGGCTGAGGGCCAAGCACCCACCGAGATTCTGGTTCCCATCTCTCTGAAGCCAGAGGAGGGTCTGGAAGTGTGGCGTTTTTGGGCAAAGAAAAAAAACGCTGAGCTTAGCAAGCAGGAACAGACAAAACTCGCACCCATTGGACGTAAGTAGACTTGAAAGATTCTCTCCTTGCAGTAACCTTTAATTAAAACGACTGTTTCACCTGCTTTGGGTATTGAAGTCTTGAGACAATAATATAGAGAAATAAGAAACTATCTAGAGCTTTCTTTAAAATAAATCAAAGAAAACTCAAATTTAGTTGCCTGTAGAGCATCATAGACAGTTTTTCTGTTTTAGTTTCAAATCATAGCTTCCTTAAACAAGCGCCTGTGTCTCTAGTGCTTGTTTTTAATCTTTATATATATATTCAAGTGTTTCTATCCATTTTGTAGAGAAGCAGCAAATAATTGCATCTGCATATCTACTATAACTATCTACTATTTAGTGATAATGCATAATTTATTCACATTTAACTTGAATTAAACTTTAAAGTGCCTTGGATTCGTCTAAAAGTTCTTATTCACCTTATTTACAAATGGCAGCTGAACTAATTTTTTTTTTTTTTGCCATTTATGTCAACAACCCAGCTACACAGGAAATATTCTTTTTCGTGGTTCCTTTTATAAACAGAATATGGTGGAATAAAAAAATGGAAATCCATAACTTTGTATCATAGAATTGTGTTTTTTATTACATTGGATATTTGTTAGTAAAAATCAGCCAACCAGCTTACAGCTTGTCAGTTATTAAAAAAAAAAAAAAAAAGGCCTTTATAGGAGTGATGACCAGAGCTCCTTTTATTTTACACATCACAGCTGAAAATATTTCCTAACCTAATCGGTCTAATCTGCAAGTATGACAAATACTTATTCTTTCAGCCAGCTGCCCGCCATTTTACAGAAACAGGTGGGGGACAGGCAAAGCTGCATTACATGGTTCTCCCTAGTAAAGGTCAATATAGATGTCAAAATCTAAAATCAACACTGTCTCTTACCTATTTAAGTCTCTGGACAGTTCAAAGGAAGAGTATAGCATCTTTAAAGCCATATTTTTATTTAATTTTTTTTGGCTCAGTTAACTTTGGTTGGCAGCTCTTCATTTTTCAACCTGTTGGTAATCCTGATTTCTATTATAGTTTGAGAAACATAGGAACAAACTTTGTCCTGATAATTCAGACTGTGGCTGCCCCCCACCCCATTCTGTTTTTGTGTTCAGGGCGCCAGCCTCTGCGTTTCCAAGAGGACTTGGTTTCCAGCGCGGTTGCAGAGTTAAACCTTGGACTTTCCTTGATGACTCAAGAGGCTCGAGGGGCAGAGGAAGAAGAGTTGGCCCCAGATGTTCTGTATTATGTGTTCTTGTGTATACAGAAGGTTAGTGCCTTCAATGTCAAAGATACCAGCACACTGTCTAAGCCTCTTTGTGACTATCTGGTTTTGTTTTCTTTTTTGTTTTTTTTCTAGTATCTGTATGAAAACGAACGTGTGGATGACATCTTCTCTGATCCATACTACACGCGTTTTTGCGAGAGTTTACACAAACTCTTACATGGCTGGAAACCCAGCATCCATCCTTTAGGTAAGGACAAGTCACCATTTAGTTTTAAACACTGGAAAAATCTAAATATATAATTTTCCTTTCCCTTTTTTTCCTACTTAGGTTATATCATTCCTAGTCATGTGACAGAGGAGATGCTGTGGGAGTGTAAACAGCTTGGTGCTCATTCTCCCTCCACTTTGCTCACAACACTAATGTATTTCAACACTAAGTAAGTACTCATCATTGGATGGGTTGAATCCATCCCTTGGGAACAGATTTTAAAAACTCAGTATTTTTTTGCAGGTATTTCCGCCTGATAACTCCTGAACACCACATGAGAGTGGCTTTTTCTAAGGTGTTGAGACACTCGAGAAAGAACCCTACTAATGCCAAGGACAAGGCCACCAGTATTCGCCTTCTAAAAGTGCAAAGCCAACACAGCTCTGGACAAAAAGGTGAAATTAATTTGCATTTGAGCATTATTTTATATATATATATATTGAGTCAGTAATATTTTTGGTGTGCTACCATGACCTGTTTTGTCTACGTGTTTTAAAGGTGTAGTGGAGGAAAGATCTGCCCTCTACACTTTAAAAATAAAAAATGCACATGCACAACCCTGTGCCTAGCTCCTGAGAGGGAACGTCTATTAAATGCATGCAAGAGCATGCACAAGCCCATTTCTCCTCGTGCACGCTCTGTTTAAAAGTTGCTGTTTGCGTCGCTCATACAAGCTTTACTTTCCAAAAGAAAACTTGCGATTTTTCCACTACATCAGACACACCAATATGTGAATGCCAAGAAATGCCTCCCCTGTTGCACACTGAAGAGAAAACTGATGAAATATGAATGAAAAGGAAACTTTAAACATATTCTTATTATTTACATATTCGTTATGCATGGATGCCCTAAAATTGAGTTTTGGTAGACTGATAAATGCGAAGAAATACCTGCCTGGTAAGAATTTCCTCCCGTCACATTAGCATGCATCGCCCTAAACTCGCACATTGATGAGAAAAGGCATTGAAATATGAATGAAAAGGGTAACTTTTAAACATATTCTTAATGGAAAAAGAACATCCTCTACTACACCTTTAAGATACAATTTATTTTCAAGCAGAACTGTGTACGTTTTTGTCCCAAGAATTGGCTTAATTTCAGAGGTATAAAATTATCTATTTTTTGTTTGGTGCATATCAATTATCTGTCAAGCTGATCTTCACAAAACTCATCTATGTAGCTTCAGAGGGTCTGGTCCATCACTGAATGGGTCATGTGACCAAGAGCACCACTTTATTGTGATCTGAGCTCCCCTTAAACATGGGAGCTAACTCAGCTAAAGGTTGTTTTTTAGGATTAAAACATGTGACGCTGACCTGATCAGTCATATCTTTGGTTCCCTTGGATAGGATTAAATCTAGAGGGGTGGATACAGCCTGGTTTTTACTACTAACTCCATGACTTCTCAGTCTACTGCTCCAAAGTGGTCTGATATCACTTTCCAAAACACTGAAGGAAACTGTTTAATTTTGTGACACTGCGGTGTTGCCAATTGCTTTTAGAGGCACTTAACCTGGAAGTTACAGGTCTAGTGTTCCTAGTGGCTAAACGTTAGTGTTGCTTTTAGAATCAATTAAAATAGCCATTCATATTTGAGTTCCTGCAACTTTGGGGATTTGAGATGGACCTAAGATCCTTTAGGTGTATGCTATTTAAATGCCTTTAAACATATATTTTTCCATTTGAATTATATATTTGTCAGCAACTGTCAAACAGCCATTTACTACGCCGCTGACTGGAGGGCCAGCCTCAGTGTGGTGCTGTTTGATTGTTAAAAACCCAATTACTATAGCCGGATGCTTTGTACACAAATGTAGGCAATGCTAAAACCCGAAAAGGGAATCAGGATTTTAAGCATCTGTTGTGTTATGTGTCCTTTCAGGAACTGACGACATGTATGAAGAGCAGATAGAAGATCCTGAGAACCCTCTTCGCTGTCCCATTAAACTTTACGACTTTTACCTCTTCAAATGGTGAGCAGCTCTCTAATCCTATCATAATGCCTAGATGCATTCTGGTCGTTGTCTGAAAGCAAACTTAACCTTCTCTTATTTCCCAGCCCCCAAAGCGTCAAAGGGCGCAGTGACGCCTACTACATGACGCCTGAGCCTGTTGTGGCGCCAAACAGCCCCATGTGGTACTCGTCTCAGCCGCTCTCTAGTCAGCAGGTGGAGCAAATGCTTTCTCGCATCATCGTAGTCCGAGAGATCCAGGAGATCATTGGCACCGCTCCTGAAAGCTCGAGCTAAGAGGGAAGAACTGGCTGGACTTGACTATGCAGTACCTATCCAGACTGTATGTCATCTAATAAAGCGGGGCATCCTCTGAAACAATCATTTTCTTCTTAGCAGAGCAGTATGATTGCATTTGCTAGTTCTCATCTGATGGGGTTGGAAACTCTAACCTTTGAGCAGAGCCAGCTGCTGAAGTGTGACATTCACGTGCAGAGGTGGACGAGTTTGGTTTTTTTTCTTCCTGTAGACCTCTTATCAACATCATACCAAATTATTCAATCTTAAACATCTTATTCAAGTCTTACTTTTCTTCAAGCTCTCACTATGATAGATTGCAACTCATAATTACAGGGATGATTGCTCAGTTTTTGTATTCTGACAGCAATTTAAACAATGTATGAATATGATTAAGTCAGAAGAATGTGTGCCTTTGTCCTTTTTTTTGTTTTGTTTTTTTACTTCTACTTATAGCTTGTCAATTTTCAACAGGATCCAATATTTTATTGTAATTATTTAGACTTAACCCCTCAGTTAGATAACTATCAAATATTTTGCCATCTTCAGCCCTTCATGTATGTGTGTATAGTAGGACATTAAAAAGGAGAACCAGATGGAAACATTGTATTTTGATTGATGCAAATCATATAGAAAATACAGTGCTATACAATTATTACGGTAGCTTTGAGTTAATAAACTCCAGTAACACTTAACACACCCACTTTATTTGGAAAATGTTACATTGGATGACACAAACAAAAAGCATTCTCTTATTGAACGCCTATAAAAAAAAAACTCAGATTAATTCTGATACAAGTCCCCATTTAGTTTAAATGGTTGGTTACTCTTTATTCAGCAGCCTACCATTTATGCCAGCTGTCTCTGGACATAGAGGGATTATTTATTATTTTTGTCCTCTGGAAATGTTAACCTTAGTCTGTTCAGTGTCTTTATGAAGTACTTGGGCAGGGGGCAGGAAGTGCTGACGTCAGACCCGCTGTGACCTGGCAGCACCAGATGGCGAGCGTGCAAATGAAGAGGAAGGTGGCGGCTCTTGGTCTGCTCCAGTCCGAGCTTTTTCAGTACACCTTCTGGTAATTTCTGTAGACCAAAAATTTAGCAATTTGAGTGATGGAAGAAAGGAAGTCCAGGCCTTATTAGAAGTTCAACAAATTACCTGCTTTCTATAGGTGTACTTGAAGGAAAATGTATTTAAAATATGATGCAACTCTTTACATTTAAGTCACAGAATGTTTTAACCCCTAAATCAGCTCATTGTGGCTTAATGTTAAGACACAAATAGGTCATTGTAGAAATAAATAGGCTGTGGTATCCAACCGTTAATGGTGAGTGGAAAGGTGCACATTCAGAAGTGACAACTATACAGGATTTTAAAGCTTGTTAAAAGCATTTCAGGGAGAGCTACCCGAGTTGCATCAAGGTCAGCTGTCATAATTTCTTTGAGTTACCCTAGAACCACATCAGACATAAGTGACTTTCAAATAGAAGTTAATTTTGCATTTTATCTGGATATAAGTCTCATTTTCTGAAGAAAGGAAAGACACACAATCCACATTGATTTGAGCCCAATTTGAAGTTCCCACAATGAAGATTTAGAAAGCCATACTATCTGAAGTCAGTCCACTATGTTTCAGCAAAAATACACTGCTTAAAAAAAATAAAGCCAACTCAAATAACACCTCATGGATATGAATGAATGAAATACTCATTGAATAGTTTGTTCTGTCCAAAGTTGAATGTGCCGACAGCAAAATCCACAATAATCAATGGAAATCAAATGTATTAACCAATGGAGGCCTGGATTTGGAGCCACAGACAAAATTAAAGTAGAATAACACACTAAAAGCTGATCCTACTTTGATATAATGTGCTTAAAAAAGGTCAAAATGAGGCTCAGTATTGTGTGTGGCCTCCACCCCAACCACACCAGGGCAAGCTCCTAATAAGGTGCCAGGTGGTCTCCTGAGGGATCTCCTCCCAGAACTGGACTAAAGCATCCGCCAACTCCTGGACAGTCCGTGGCGATGTTGATGGATGAATCCAAACATGACATCACAGCTGTGCTCAACGGGATTCAGGTCTGGAGAACAGGTGGGCTAGTTCATAGCTCCAATGCCTTCATCTTGCAGAAACTGCTGACACGCTCCAGCCAGATAAGGTCTTTCAAGGGGTCTGAGGTACCTAATGGCAGTCATGCTACCACTGGCTTGCACATAGAGGGCTGTGCGGCCTTCCAAAGAAATGCTATTCCACACCATTACTGACCCAGGATCCAAACTGGTCATGCTGAAGGATGTTGCAGGCGGCAGATCACTCTCCATGGTGTCTCCAGACTCAGGCACATCTCTCACATGTGCTAAGTGTAAACCTGCTTTCATCTGTGAAAAGCACAGGGTGCCAGTGGCAAAATTTGCCAATCCTTGTGTTCTCTGGCAAATGCCAAACATCCCGCACAGCGTTGGGCTATAAGCTCCATCCCCAGTTGTGGACGTTAGGCCCTCATTCCATCCCGATGGAGTTGGTTTCTAAGAGTTTGTGCAGACACATGCACATTTGTGGCCTGCTGGAGGTCATTTTGCAGGGCTCTGGCAGTGCTCCTACTGTTCCTCTCTGCACAAAGGCAGATGTAGCGGGTTGCTCCACATCTCCTGGTCTACTGGCCTGTCTCCTGGTAGCACCTCCAGCCTCTTGACACTACACTGACAGAGCAAACCTTCTTGCCACAACTAACAATGATGTGCCATCCTGGAGGAGCTGCTTGTGTGGGTATACTCTGTCTCATGCTACGAGTGTGAAAGCACCAATAACATAAAAAAGTGACCAAAACATCAGCCAGAAAGCATAGGTGCTGAGAATTGGTCTGTGGTGCCTACCTGCAGAACCACTCCCTGGTTGAGCATCATGCTAGCTGCCAATAATTTCTTTTTTTTCGTTTTCCATTCCATCTGTACAACAGCTTGTGATTGTCAATCAGTATCAGTGTTGCTTCCTAAGTGGACAGTTTTATTTTTTGAGTTTGATTTAATTAAAGTTGTATTGTTTACATGTTCTTTATTTTTTTTGAATAGTGTATAATTGCAGGGGAATTTTCCAACACCCTAATGCTGCTATCTGCTTAAAAGCTTGACAACGATCCCCATTTAATTTTATAGATGGAGTTGGTCCAACCGGAACTCCATAGTTTTCAACAAGTATCGTCAGGAGGAAGAGAAGAGACACCAGAACCAACAATGCAGATAAGCTAAAGCCCGTAAACAAAGCCACCAGCGTTACTATTATGGCTCCTGGCCTCGGTGTGATGTTGCATTACTGCTGGAATTGATGTAAAAGGAAATTAAACTGGGTAGACCATCATCAGAATGCTGACATTTCTGTTTCTATAAGTAATGTTTAGGATTTAGTTTTCAGCCAACTATTAACCTTTAGCATCTATATGATTCTGGATATTTCTCTGTAATGGATTATGATTTCTAACAGAATTGCTTAACATATTTTTGTATTTTAATTCACTGAGATGTACATAGAAGCGACCTCCATTATCAGACTGAAGTTAATTATTAAATGACAAAATGTGAAACGGGGAGAAATTTAATCTTAAACAACATGAAGCTGATGTTTTCGTTAGGTTTTAGTGAGGCACACAGCTAAATGAAAGCTTAGAAATTAGCCAATCTACATGTATAAGTGTCATGTTAAAAGTTCACTGCAGTGTCAGAAAATATTTTTGGTAAAACTGATTAGGACTTTTTTGTATTGACTGACACACTCAATCCCTCCTTTCTAACCCTCACTTAAAGGAATAGTACACCCAAAACATGATTAGCCTTCATTTTCTACTCACCCCCATGCTGAACAACACCCTGGAGTACTTTTTTGATATCTCAAATGCATCTGGAGATCTGGGAGGCTTCTTGCTGTCTGCTGACATTCAAATAATGGAGGTTTATGGCGCCCGAGACAGAAAGGTCCACAAAAGTCCACAAAAACGTGTCAATATTCCTCCATACTGCTCGTCCAATGTAATCCAAGTGTCCTGAGTGGGTAGCATCCAGAATTTACTCGAAACGAAGTCATTTAGAATGTTTTAGAGCCTAAACAGTAGTGTATAGGATTTCCTAATAGCGCCCCCATGCGCCCTCACGATTCTACGGAAGCCGGCAGACCAAACCGGAAGAAAGTGCGCATTCAGCGTCTGCTCTGCCGATAATGCAAGCGTAGAAGAAGAAATGTGCTGTTTACCTGTGCAAAGAAAGAAACAACGAAAGAAAAATGTCTGAGGACTTCAGTGTTGAGGAAGAGCATGAGTTCTTTGCCGAGCTGAATGCGCTGGTTTGGTCTGCCGGCTTCCGTAGAATCGTGAGCGCGCATGGGGGCGCTATTAGGAAATCCTATACACTACTGTTTAGGCTCTAAAAACATTCTAAATGACTTCGTTTCGAGTAAATTATGGACGCTACCCACTCAGGACACTTGGATTACATTGGACGAGCAGTATGGAGGAATATTGACACGTTTTTGTGGACTTTTATGGACCTTTCTGTCTCGGTCACCATAGACCTCCATTATTTGAATGTCAGCAGACGGCAAGAAGCCTCCCAGATCTCCAGATGCATTTGAGATATCAAAAAAGTACTCCAGAGTTTTGTTCAGCATGGGGGTGAGTAGAAAATGAAGGCTAATCATGTTTTGGGTGTACTATTCCTTTAAGGATCCTTTGTATTCAACCATTTTGCATTCATTTATCTTTATATTTCTGAGTTTGATGAAGTCGCATAAAAACGTATTTATTAGTAAATATTCAAAGCAAACTGTTATTTTTGCATGACATTCTTTTGCACTGATTTCTAATGATTCTGGTTAGGATCCCTGTTCGAGGCTTCTGACTCTTTTAAAATATGACAGATCATTCACTTTTTTTCAATCTAAATATAGATTAGATCAATAATATACCCACAAAGATCATGGAAAATTACATAAAACATTTGGTTAAGATGAAATGTTACGTCTGAGGCTTCTTTGATTTATGGGGACGACAGATCAGGGAATGAAACAGCAAAGGGAGAAATTCACCCATGCCTCCTTTTCCATGTGTCTTTGTGTTGCCCTCCCCCATTGCACCCTGTGGTAAGTAATATACATGTTTCACCTGTGGTGCCAGTTTGCTCCAGTGGGAATATTTATGATCTCCAAGGATGGGACATCCCAAAGCATACGCCATATGCACCCGCATCTGGTGCTTAACCCCTGTGGATGAAGGAAAACAGGGAAAGTGGAAAAAGGAGCCCTGAAGGAAACTAAAACTGATCTGGAAGAAGATAAGTGTATGTAAGATATGTAACCTGTCAAAGCCTGGAGCTCAACAAGGCTGCAGCCATAGCTGCTGTCCAATACTCTGTACTTGGTGACTGCAGGATGGGCCTGCCGGTGACCTCTGACTTTGGTGAGCTTCTCGCCGGCTTCATTCATTCTGTAAAGCGGACTCAGGGTCATCTGAAAGGAGATGTTATGAAAGTTAAGAGCCCGCCAGAACAAAACGGTTAACTGAATATGAAAACACAGTAGAGGGTAACGCTCTACTGTGTTTTCATATTCATGTGTGCTTAGTCATATTAAAAATAAACTGGTAATAATGTACTTAATCCATCATAACTTTTTGTGATCAGACCAAGAAAGAAAAAATTTTACTGCTCAGTTGCCATTCTGAGGCCAAAACGTAATCTGGAATAAACATTCAGTAAAATTCATTCATTTCTGTATCAAAACGTATACTGAGTGCAGAATTATTAGGCAAGTTGTATTTTTGAGGATTATTTTTATTATTGCACCACAATTGTGTTGTCAATTAATCCAAAAGACTCCTTAATATCAAAGTTTCATATTTTTGGAAATTGATGTGCTTTTTTTTTTTTTTAGATTTGTATGAGGACGTCTGTGTGTGCAGGTAAATATTACTGTGCAGAATTATTAGGAAACATAATAAAAAACAAATATATACCCATTTCACTTGTTTATTTTCAACATGTAAACCAATATGCTTAAAATAACTTGTGTTATCCTATTTTTAGCACCCTAACTTAGGAGTAGCAGGACATGTTCATTTTGTTATCTGTCTGTCTTTTATCACAGATAAGAAAAAAGTAAAGCTGTCAGTTTTGCAGTTAATGTTGGGAACATATTGCTTATTAATGCTAAACTGAGTTTTACTTTTCAAAGTCCATTTTTATCTGCTTTTAGTCCCTCTGATTAGTCTTCACAGCATTGTGATAATACAAATAATCCAAACTGGATAATAATCACCTTGAAATGAGGCTGAGGACTTGAAACTTCTCTTTCAATGATGGGGATATCAATCAACCCTTCAGATGGAACAGGAACTCCAACAGTGATCACCCTGAGAAGAGCAGGCCAGCTGATCAAAACTAACACATTTTAAATGGTGCATTCCTTAAATACCTTCATAAGTCTCACTACTTACCAATATCTCCTCTCCAGCTGGTTATTTCTGCTCAGGTCCAGGATGTTCTCTGCTGCTGCTTCGCTCCTGGCCAGCAGGAGAACTCCTGTTGAATCCTTTTCCAGACTCAGGCAGGGCAGAAGGTTGGAGTCATTCTTCACCTTCAGTCCATCCAGCATTTTAGAGAGAACAGGAAGCACAGATGTGATGGAGGTAACGCCTGAGTCCTCTGAAAGAGAGTTTATTATCAGTCCAAATTTGAAATCTTATAAACACATACATGCAATTACATTTTAACAAAAACACACTATAAACATTTCCTGATTTTCTTTCTTTAAGCCACCTTAGTTTACCTCTGACGGGGACGCCATAGGGTTTGTTGATAATCACCACATCTTTATCCTGGTATAGCAGGTTTTTGTGCAGGTGTTTGGCCAACACGTTTGGGTGGACGTTTTGCAGCTGCAGACTGAACCGCTTCAGCTCCATCACCCTCTGCTGCATGGCGGACACTGGAGGCTCTGTCTGCTCTGTCCGAGTCCTCGCCTTCTCCTGTCGGACCTTTCGGGCAAGGTCAATGGCTCTCAGGCGGGGTTTATCAGCGGTGTGCTGACCTGGGGACGCCTCTGAGGAGGACTCCGCCGCCTGGCTTTGACTCCGGCTAAGGAAAGGCTTTGTGTTCGGGAGCCTGCGGTTTATTGTCCGGGATTTAAACAGGGAGAAAAACATGTGGTCCCCCACAGTGGCTGCTGTTTTATAGCAGTTCATCATTCTTCAGCGTGAGAACTGTAACACATGATGAGAACAACACAACTTTTCCTTCGACAGGAAACGTTCGTAAATCACACCCGGGTTGTACTTTACTTTTCAAAGTAAAAGCATTCTCACTTGATTGATACCAACATGTAGCGCACTTAATTGCATGTTTTTTTTCCTCCTAACTGTACTTGTTTATTGTGACATACCCCCTGGCATATTTATTTGTTTGTTTATATATTGTTGTGTGACTTTAAGTGAAACAAAAAAAAAAACATGTAGCACACTTATCAGCTGTGCCGCAGGATTTAAGCTTGTTTAAAAGATTATATTTTCTCATGTTTGAAGCCAAATATTTTTCTAGGATGAAAGCCGAGGTTTCTCACCAACCCTGACCCATTATCCCACATGATAATAGGTCTGCATTGCGACTGGAACAGTTAAGATGTGTTTTAACACAAGGTCCTCAGTTTCCAACTTAAATTTAAATACAGGACACTGTCCTTTTTTATTTTTATTTTTTGAAAGGTTAGAATTATGTATGGGGTTTCAATAGTGCCAGAAATATGTTTATGTAATGTGTATACATGTGTCTATGTCATATGTTTGTGTCTTTTTACAATTCAGTTCAATTGACCTTTTTTATATGTATATAATCTTTTTGCTGCTTTAAACAACAGAATAAATACAGTTCAGTTTCTAAAAAATCCACCATTTTTAGAAATAGAAACTGAACTTTATTGATCTCATAATGGAGAATTTAACTCTCTGCATTTAACCCATCCCCTGTGGGCAGCAGTGGGCTGCCACTGTGCAGCGCCCAGGGAGCAGTGTGTCAGTTAAGGGTCTTGCTCAAAGACCCAAAGTGGAGGCTGTGGGGATTGAACCAGGTACTTGCAACCTTCAACACTAGCGCACTTCTCTAACCACAAGGCCAACACTCCCTGTTCTCTAAAAAAGTATAACAAACTGTGTAAATCTATTCCACTGCCTTTAATTCAATTGATTAAAAATTCTAGGTTATATAATAATTACCCACCAATATTGCCCAGTTGATTGATTTCACAATGCTATCTGTTTAATAAAAAAAAATGCAATAATAAATTCATTAACAGTTTTTTTAAAGCAAGAAAATTTCATGATTATAATAGATTTACTTGGAAGAGATATATTCCTGTTAGTTCAGATACAGTTGATAATGCATTCTCAAAATTTGTTAAATGGCCTATTCTACCTAAAGTCAAAGAAACACATTTTAAAGTTATAAACAAAATTTATCCTGTGGCAGAATTTTTAAGAAAAAGATTTGGTTTTGAGGAGGATCAATGTTCCTTTTGTAATAATAATAGTGAAACCGTTGAACATATGTTTTACCTGTGTCCTACTCCACATCGCTTCTGGAAATAGTTGAAAGATTTGATTTCTTTAAAGATTAATGATGTATATTGACAATCCTGCTGTTGGGTAAATATCATATCCACCGTGCTAAATGGAGAAATTATAAACCTTCCTTTCATTGGTTTATTAATGACTTTAAAACCTATTTTTCTTCTCTTAAAAAGATTTTAAAAAATGAAAAATAAGTGCATCCACCTTTTTTTATATATATTTCTGTGGCTCTTTCTATGTTTGATTTGAATATTTGCCAAGATAAATCCCCTGCTTGTTAGTTTAATTTTCAGGGGTTTTTTAAATTGTAATGTACACCTTTGCCATCCTCTCTGAGAGTATTTTCTTTTTTTCATGTAAATTTCTATGACATAATAAAATAAAATAAACAGAAAGGATTTTAAGGCATCTTTTTTTTGTCAGGAAATACATTATTAACTTTTAACACAATATATTTTAGAACGTTTAATATTTCTGTGGAGGGAAAACGTCATTTATTTATTTTTTTCTTTTTTACAAAATAAACGAAGAAGACCCGGATGTATATCTGGATGCGCATGCGCAAATGAGCTGATGGCGCACGCGCAGAACGGATCGTGCTTCCGGGACGGATCGGGTAGTGGCAGTACTGTTAACCAAAACATAAGCAGTTATATTTGTATAACAGCGTTAAATATACATGCAATGTAACTCATTTTAACTAAGATTTTAAGCTAAATATAAGTCAAGCACAAAGAACATCTCGCTGTGTGAGTTCGGATGTTTTTAACCAGCAGCTGCGATGAAGATCTCAGACAGCCTCCTGAGGAGTTTTAAAGTCGCCAGAATCCACCGATATCATTCAGAAAAAGTAAATTGTGTCCACTACAGCGCCAATGGTGAACACGCCGTTTCAAGTGGCAACGACGACTGTATTGTTTTATATGACATCCAGGAGGGAAAGTGAGTGGGCAGTTCAGTGCTTCAAAACAACACATTTGTAAATATAGTAAATTATTTGTGGTGTGTTCCACTTTAGACCGTCCAGGACTCTGTACAGCAAGAAGTATGGAGTAGATCTGATCCGCTTCACACACGGGGAGGCCAAGAATGTGGTCTTCAGCTCCAACAAATTGGATGGTAAACAGCTGATTGTTATCGCCACAGGGAGCAGATATGTGGGAATTTCAGGAAAGCTGAGTTTGCTTGGTGTCTTACAGATACAATTAGATATCTGTCGCTTACTGACAACAAGTTTATCCGATATTTCCCCGGTCACTCTGCAAGGTAACTAATATTTGTTGCTTTGATAAAAATTTTTTACCTATTTTTTCACATTTTGTCAAGTTACAACCACAAAACTCTTGTTTCAAATTGGATCCAGATCAAGGCTTTGGCTTGTTCATTTTAACAATCGGTTCAACTTCAATCTGTCTGTTTAGCTTTAATGTTCTGCTTCAAGTTACAAATATAACTCCCTCTCCAACAACTTTGACCACCTTCTCTCTTTCAGTGCTGTAAACAAACCATTATACTGCCACCTCAATGCTCAGACTGGTAATCTGTGATACCGGGAATTTGCCCGGTGGGCCGGTCCTAATTTCAGTGTGCGAGGGTTGGCCCTCCTTAAATCATACCGGCCCAGACACTTAAGGCTGATTTATACTTTGAAACCAGGTCCTCTGCGTAGGTGTCGCAGTGAACAAAAAGGCGTCCCAGCCCCCTCCGCAGACACTCCGCTGCACCTCTCCCAAATTGTAACTGACCGCAGACAGTGCTGCAGACAGGAGGCCGGCTTGTTTTGGTTTTATGACCAAAACTGAGGAAAACAACTCGAGAAGTTTGACCCGCTAGAAGAGCGAGGTGTGTGAGAACGCTGGGACCATTTTTCCACCTGGATCCCTGCTCTTTTTCAACATCATGTCCCTCCGTTGTCGGACTAAACTCGCCCCCACTTCCTCACCGCCTCAGCCATATCTAGCCACAGCGTATAGCACAGACCACGCTTCAATATTAAACATAAATCAAAAATGTCTGCGTCAAGCTCATTGCGACACACTGCTGCCGGAGTATAACCAGCCCGTTATTCTCCGGCTGAAGCACCTACCTGTGAGCTCAAGAAGTAATACAATGTTAACTACCTTAATGATGCATGCAGTATATATAGCCCTTCCTTGTCATGCACATCCTTGTGACGGTTGGCATATGGTGTCATTTTCTATTTCTTCAAACTGTAAAATCCTTGCAAAAGAGTAAATTATAATAAAATGCTTTCTTTAAAACAAATTACAATGTTCCTAGCCTGGGTGCCAGTCAGAACTTAGTCCCGCCCACAAGGTTTGAGTTCGGGGAAGTTCGGTCTGGCTCTGCTCCATAGTAGCGCGAGTATTAAAGCCCACTGTCAGGCGATCCAATCAAATTGTCAGGGCGGACTTTATACGATGATGGACAGATGATCAACAGTAACGTAATCAACCACGTGACCAAAGCGCGCTAGGGTGACAACAATAATGGCTGCCACTGGAGAGTTTGGGTGAGTAGATTCTGCTATTAGGTCTGTTCTAGAAGATATCGACAGCAAATTAATTTTAAAATAGGAACAGAGAAAAGCGAAACTGCACGCTTTGATTTTTGTGGACAACAACTATGCCTTGCTTAACATACGTCACGCACTCCGTTGCTCTTATTGGTTGTAGGTCTATCCAACTGAGTGCAGAGGCATTTTTTTCCTGGTTCGTTCGAAACACGCCCCATAATCACAGCTCTATGGAGCAGTATCAGACTCATATTCTGACTAGAATTGAGTCGGACTACGTCAGGCTACAATGTTCCTCTTATATTTGGCAAATTTGTGTTTGAATATTTTGCAAATTTATGTTGCGGTGCATGATGGGGATTTGCATCTAAGGGCTGATTTATACTTCGAAACTAGGTTGTCTGCGTAGGTGTCGCAGTGAACAAACAGATGTCCCCTCTGCAGACACTATGCTGCACCTCCCAAATTATAGGTCAGACAGTGCTGCAGACAGGAGTTTTTTTTTTTTTTATGACCGAAATTAAAGAAAACAACTCGAGAAGTTGGACCAGCTAGAAGAGCGAGGTGTGTGAGAACGCTGGGAGCCTTTTTCCACCTGGATTCCTGCTCTTTTTTGCCCTCATGTCCCTCTGTTGTTGGACAAACTCGCCCCCACTTCCTCAGCGCCTTGGCCGTATTTAGACCCACAGCATTTAGCGCAGACCACGCTTCAATATTGGGCACAAATCAAAAATGTCTGCGTCAAGCTCACTGCGACACACTGCTGCAGGAGTATAACCAGCCCTTAAATGCTAACGTTTCCCATCTTATGTGCATTGTTGCCAGGTTGGGATGTTTTGGCTGTTTAGGATGGCCGTCTATGGGTAAAAAATATTTTTCTTTAGTGGTTTGGCCTAAAAGATCATTAGACTTTGGTTCAAACTGGGCGTGATTTCGTATATCCAGACAGTTTATGAAATTTTTTTTTTTGGCTGGAAAATGTGTGTCAGTGACATCTGGCAACCCTGCAGATGTGAGTGTGGACATAAGTGGGCTGATGTAGATGGAAAAATGCCAGGGCTGAAAATCGTACCCAGTCTGAGCCTGGCCACCTCCATGGTTCCTCGTGGAGGGGGTGTAACAATGTGCGGTTATGTTTACTTTTTATGTTGGTCTTTCACATAAACTTCATAAAATACCCATGTCA